TTTTGCTTCTTTCTTCCTCCACTTTGCTCCTTTCTTTGTTCAATCCCAGAATTGCTTCAATTAAGCTTTTATTTGGCTGAGTTAGCTTATTTTCGGGATAAGTGCCTGAAAATGGAAATAATACGAAATCAATCTAAAACGGTAAAGTAAGATAGATAAAGGTACTTGAATGCCTAAGCTTAAGGGGTTTAAATATGCACTTTTCAGTGCTCATCACACCACCACTACCGCCACCTCCCACCACCAACGCCACCACCTCCACCTCTACCGCCACCGCCACCGCCACCGCCACCGCTACCGACTTCCATCACCACCTCCACCTCTGCCACTACCACTACCTCCACCGCCATCAACTTACATCACCACTGCCACCTCCACCACCGCCGCCACATCCACTGGCGTCTCTGTCACCTCCACTACCCTCCACCATCTCCACCTTCCACCTCCACCTTCCACCACCATATACATTACTGTCGTCTTCCACCACCACCATGCCATTGCCATCGCCAGTGCCTTCCACCATCATCATGTATACTACTGACACCTTCCACCATTACCACCACTACTACCACTACTACCATTACCACTACCTTCTATGAACACCCTGCTGCCTTCCGCCACCACCGCCTTCCAACACAACTATCGCTTTCCACCTCCACCACCATCGACACCACCATCAACCATTGCCACCATTTCTTAATGTTATTTTATCATTTAAAATAATTTGTCACTAATAAGGATATTTTGGAAAATTCAATTTAAAATTCATTCTTTTCTAAATTTTACATTTGTCCATTCCTATAAATTTTGTATTTATAACCAAATAATAAAATGAGAATGATCATTGCATTCCATTTTCATTCTCATTCCATTCATTCACACCAAACATAACATTTGTGCATTGCGCTTTCCGGTGCACTGAAATGTTGAGATGACCCACAGGCAACTTGTCTGACAATACCGTGAGCTCTTTTTGCACTGTTCATAACCCTATCATACTGTATAAAACAACACTTGCAACACTTTTTTACTAAACATATTTTTACTTATAAAAATTTTACAATAAATTTTATATTACCAAACATGCTTACAATGATTTTTGAACACTGCATAACAAAAATAAAAACGTTACTTTGGTTTAGGGTGAAAAGAAAAAAAAAAAAACCAAATATGGCCGAACTAAACTGGAGTAGCCATTTGGTCTAACTAAACTGGAGTAACCGGCCAACGTCAACATAATTTCACAAGAAGAGACCATACGAGCAAAGATCTTGTCAATAGTGCAAGTATTATGGCTCTGTTCGGTGGAGGCTGGTGTGATTGTTCAGATATTTTAGATGGGAAAATATATACGGAGTGGCCTCTAAAACTTTCCTTATTTTTTAGAATTGTATTATAATATAATTTTATTGAAATGTTTAACAACGAAGAACACATCCGTAATTATAAATCGTCAGAATAAATTGAAAAAGATATTCGGTACACTGACTTTTCAAGTCGCTTTGAAAAGGCATTATACCTCTATGCATTATACCTCTATCTATATATATATATATATATATATATATATATATATATATATATACATATATTTGTCATAATAACAATTTAACTTTTTTTATATTGAATCTATAAAAAGTAAATCATTACATCATTTTACATTCGGATAAATTTGATAATTCATTCACTTTTAATAAAATAAATATTAATAAAAATCCTTGTTATAAAAAGTTAATTTTTTTTTAAGAAAAGGCACATATTTTAAAAGGTATGAAGTATATTTTATATATTCAATTTTGGAATAATATGAAATTGAAAAACTTGATAGTTTTTTTTTAACATGCACATAAAAAGGACGAGAAATCCTAAAATACTCCAGCTACTAAATTATCCATCAGGCATGTCTCACCGCTATGAATGGAAAAACCTAAATTATTGTATCCGATATATTCTATAATTATATCCGTACAGTTTTGACGGGAGTTTGCAAAATTTTTAGGACAACTTAGGCCATCTCCAATGCTAAAAGCTATTATTTGACACAGCCATCATTTTTTTTTTTAACTACCATTCCCACTATTCATATTTGTATTATTAATATTCTATTCATATTTGTATCTATAATATTAATATTAGACACATTCCAAATCAAGTTATATACATTAAAAGGAAACTAAAATTAAACATAATTAAAAAGAAGTAAATATCTAAAATATTTAGTCAAAAAAAAATATATATATATATTTTATTTTTTTATCACTATTTGTGAATTAATTTTTTTATATAATTTTTTTTCTTTTTCGGAAATTTATATATACTATATATATATGTATATTATATATATATTTGATTATATTATATATTATTAAAAATATATAAATTTTTAGGGCAAATCATTTCAGCCTCCCCAATCGCCTCCATCTATATTCTCGTTCTCAACTCTCAGAACTTGCCCTCTCTCTCTCTCGAACTGCAAACTACAAAATCTACAAGAATAAGAAGTTCAAAACTCATATATTTCAGTTCATCTATGTGTCTGCTATAATCCAAAGTTCAAAACTTATTACCTATATCAAAACCCATATCTGCGTATCATTTCAGATTGTTCAAAAAATCAAAACCCATATCTTTCAGTTTCCATATCGCTTTCCAGTTCGGGTTCGCCGTTCGCAAGCTTGAGCCGCTGTCTCTCAACTCTCAAGCTTGCCCCCCTCTCTCTCTGCAACTGCTAATCAAGGTCTGTAAGGGAAGAGAAAATACAAAAATCAAACAACAGAAGCAGGAGGTGGTGTTCGTCGCCTTTAAGCGCCGGTCGGTGTTGATAATGGCCAGTGGTTGCAGATGGATAAGAGAGAGAGATGGTCGTTGCACATGGATGAGAGAGAGAGAGAGAGAGAGACACACACACACACGACAGGCAACAAAATAAGACAAATAGCATGGTTAGATTTGGCACTAAAAATGATAAAAGCAAATTTTAACAGACCATATAACAATTTATTGAAAAATTCAATTTTACCTCACCTATTATATTTTGAATTAACAGTCCATATGACAACGTCATTGAGATATTCTTAGTTGTGTGTCTCTGTTATATAGGTTAAAAGGTTTATTTTGATTTTCAACCACTGACGTATTATGTATATAATAATATTTCAGTCATATTTTACACGTCTTATTATATTCTATTCTTCTGTAAATATTATATATTGTTCAAATCATGTATATATTGAAAAAGTTGTAATATTTATATATTATTTAAAGTACCATTATAATTAAATATACAAAATCGTCCAAGAACATGGATCTTCCACTATAATTAATTATTTAGGCAAATCTTCTTAGATTGGGCTGTCTTTTTTCAGCCATTGTTCTTAGATTGAGGTGTCTTTTATTAAAAACAAAAGCTGATTTCTCACACCATCTTTGTCTGATAAACATGTCATTAACAAGTTATCTTTATATAAAAAACTTGTCATTATCTAGGTAGCCGAATATTGGTATTCCTACCGAGATGGTGTCGGTATCAGACATATTGAGTTTTGAACACATGTCTTACACAGCCAAGTGTCACGAAATTTAAATTTATTTTGTTTGATGGACACGGGACATAACAAAAAGTGGTGAGGACACAATAGTGATATATTTGAAACAAGACACGGTTTGATAATTTTGCAATTATTAATTTTTGAAGATTTTGATCCCAATGTAACTTTAAAATATAATTTGAGTTAATTGAATAAAATTTAAAAAATTTCAAAACAAAATAACAAGCATCTAGCTTTACGATTCAAATTAATAATTTCAATCACCATAATGTGGATAAAAATGAGCAAAAAATATTTTATAGATATATAATTATATATTATATTAGTATTAATTTTTAGGGTTAATTACAACGACACCCCCTGAGGTTTGCCATATTGACAGCCATATACAACTTAGTCCCTTTTTGGACAAAGACACCCCCTAAGTTTACAAACTTGAACAATGACACTCCATTTTAAAAAAACAGAGCCAAACACAGCCTTAAGTGACATGAAATGTCTAATATGCCCTAAGATATATTTTAATCTCACCTAAAATGACTAAACTACCCTCTCATCTCATTTCTCTCTCTCTGTCGTTTCTTTTTCCATCCCTTTTGACCAAACACAGCCTTATGAATAAATATTTGACAAAAAAATGTGCTCCATAGCTGTCCACCCAAAATGCACGGACGGTGAAGAGCTTCATTGGTGAGGACGGGCTGGTTCGGGCAAGGTGGTGCCGGCGATGGGCTGTGGGAAGGACTCAGTCGTGATGGTCTGGATCGCGACGAGATGGCAGCGACGATGGATGATGGCGAAGGTGGCTTGCGGCTGTGGAGAAGGAGACGACTGTGAAGGAGTCGGCCGTGAAGAAGAAGATCAGTTTTGATGGAAGCGGCTGCGACGTGGAGATAGGCTGGCTTCACCTTCGGCTGTGAGCTTGCGGATGATGGCAGCGAGCACTCTCAAACCCTGTACTTTCTCTCAAACCTCTCTATGCTTCGAGCAAACAACGGCAAGAATGGAATACGCCGGAAAAGATGGAGTTCTCTCTACCCATCCACCATCATCTCCACACACTACGCACCACCCATTATCTTTTCTGCAAATTTTTTTTCACCCAAACCCTAGCTCCATCTATCTTCAAATCGACTCAATAATCTACATTATACTAACTGAAATATTGGGGCTTTGTTTCTAATAATCAAATAGACCAGTCTCCGATTATCCATCCTATTAGGTTCGTAGTGTTGTTAGGGTAAAGGGTTGGCAAGTTCTTGCAGTGGGTAATTCATTGGGAAGCATTTTGATTTGAATTTGGACATTGGGAAGCATTTTGATTTGAATTTGGATGAAGTTGTTGCAAACCAGCAAGTGATTTTGCAGTATAGTCATGAGAACCCGAATCGGACGGTTGTGAATCCGTATGTTCATTTTGGGCAGCGATCGGTTTGGCCTAGGGGTTATTCCATGGCGGAAGAAGGGTTTTGGACTGAGAAAGATATGAAATTTATTACTGCTTGGCTGCAGGACTTGGTTGCTGTTGGGTACCAACAGCCGAGGTTGATGGCAATACTAACTAAGGGTAATAGATTGCGGCTGTGGATGGCTCGGATGAGGGTGACAGCGGGACGGTGATGACCTGTGGGTTGTGGCGGCTTGATGGACGGCGGGGAAGAAAGGCTCACAGGGAATGAATGAGAAGATGGAAAATTTGGAAGAAAGGATTTTTTGAATGAGGGTAATTTGGTCATTTTATGTGGTTAAAGGGTAAACATGTACTTTCATCATGTTTGGAGTGTCATTGTTCAACTTTGCAAACTTGAGGGGTGTCTTTGTCCAAAAAATGACTAAATTATATATGGCTATTAATATAGTAAACTTCAGGGGGTGTCGTTGTAATTAACCTTAATTTTTAAATAGCTTTTTTTGTTTTTGTTTGGGTATATAGAAATTTATTTTTATTTATTTTTTAAAATAGTTATGCTATATTTGTGTTTTATTTTTTTATAATTTATCGTGCGGCCGTGTTTATTTCATGCTACACGTGTTTTTAACCATACTTTCTGATCTATTTTCATACAGTACATTTATATACCCATTAAAGGAATGATTCAAAAACAGTGTTTTCTCATAATTTACTACTACTATATAAGTAGCATCCAACAATAATAATTTTCATGTTGTAGACACTTCAAGATGGCTTTTGCTATGTTATCTTCAAGCCATCTATGCATTTTCACTGCACGCCCACATGGTAGACAGCTTTTTTCGCAGAGAACATCTAGCAAGCTCTGTGCCTCTCTCAATGGTGCTAAAGCTTCCACTTCCATTCAGACGGTTGTTCGGAGGTCGGGAAATTACAAACCTTCCATTTGGGAACATCATTATCTTCAGTCACTTTCTAGTGTCTATTCGGTAACGTAAATCTATATATATTAAATTTTCTTCAATTTTAAATTCAGTCATGTGCTCCCAAACATAATTGTGTATGTTTATATATCTATATATATATGTTATTAAACCTTAATAATTAATGCAGGGAGAAGAATACACAAGGAGAGCCGAAAACCTGAAGAAGAGAGTGAAGATGATGCTTGAACAAGTGATGATGGATCCATTGGATCAACTTGAACTTGTGGATGTTTTGCAGAGGCTTGGACTATCCTATCACTTTAAGGATGAAATTTCTAAAATATTGGAAGTTATATTCTCCAATAATTGCAACTGGGATAAATGGGAGGGAGAAAATTTATATGCTACAGCTCTTCAATTTAGACTCCTCAGACAACAAGGCTTTCATGTCCCTCAAGGTATTCTTGGAGTAATGAAAGTATTTCCTTTTATTTATTTATTATTATTATTATTATTTTTTGGATCCCATAATACTTGTTCACTTTGGAAACTGTACCGAGAGAGTGTTTTGAAGTAAACCACTTCACTGTTTAACATGTCTCATTATTATTTTACAATAAATCGGTGTTGGGGTTTTGTCCCGACTAATCTACTAAACTGTGCACGGCACCCCGACACGGATGAGTAAAGATCGGACTATGTCTACGGGCATGGCTCATAAAAAATTATTTGTACTTAGGAGGAATCGATTCTGAGACCTGTACTTCACAAGGCAGAGGCATCATGGTCCAAGTCTTTAATTTCTAACTAGCCAACACTTGTTCAAAAAAAGTGAGTATATTAAATGTCATGTAACCTTGTTTTATTGCAGATGTTTTCAAGAGTTTCATGAGTGAAAATGGAAAATTCAAGGCATGCCATTGTGGAGATACCAAGGGACTTCTATGTCTGTATGAAGCTTCATACTTTTCCATAGAAGGTGAAAGCATCTTGGAGGAGGCCAAAGATTTCACAACCAGACATCTCAAGAAAAATCTTGAGCAGAATATATGCATGGATAAAAATCTCGCAATGCAAGTAAGTCATTCTTTGGAGCTTCCACTCCATTGGAGGATGATAAGATTAGAGAACAGGTGGTTCATAGATGTATATGAGAGAAGGCCTGACACGAATCCTCTGTTGCTTGAGTTTGCCAAATTGGATTTTAACATGGTGCAAGCAAAACATTTGGAAGAAGTGAAACAGGTGGCCAGGTAACTAATTAGTAGCAATTTAATTTTATATTTTTCAATTTCAAATTAGTAGTAAAATTAAAAAAATACTTGATTCATGACCCACGAGGAACATTTTTCTTTCTAAATTAAGGTGACATATCATGATATTTGGACCCATTAGTAGATTTGGTAACAATTAAACCCACCTTACAAAATATGTTATTTTTCTTTTCATTTGATTTACTTATTTTTTTAATGTAATAAAAGGATACGTACGTTAGCTAATAATAGCATGTCACATCAATAATAAGATAAAAATAAAAAATAAAAAAAACAGAACAAAAATAAATAAACATATAAATACAGAGTTCATCTCATGTATAAGGAAAAGTTTTGTTTATAAGATTGTAACCGTATAACACATGAAGTTTAAAAGGTTGGCCCCAAAGAAGCACAGACACTTTTATTAAGGAGTCGTACTCAAGGATAAGACATTGTTCAGATACTCTTCGAATATGTATTCGACACTTTATATACGTGTCTATAAATAAAAATTAATTTTATTATTTCGGAAACTTCGCCAACATTTTCCAAATACTTCGCCGATACTTTCTCGACACTTTGCTGATACTTTCTGGATATTTCTAATACAAGTGTAATCTTGAAAATAATATTAATACTATCATGACAAAGTAATGAAATAATAGTATAAAAATCATTATAATAATAACGTAATTTCATTTTCTAATTCATTTAATAGTAACTCTTAGTATAGAAATTATAAATGAATTAAAGTTTTATAATACTATTACTAAATAAATGTATAAAAATAAAAATTTATATTTATATTTATATGTAGTTGTGTTCACGTCGTATCTGTGTCCTACTTTTTAAAATTTAACGTGTCGTATAATGTCCGTATCTCATATTCGTGTCCGTGCTACATAGGTTCGTCCTAATGAGTTGTTTATAAAAGAATAATGATTTGAAGACAACTTTACTGATTCATATTGGTGCAAATTTATGTTAATTCAAGTTTACGATACTATGATGTCATTAATATCACTAATTTTGTGATGCCATCAATTTATACTTACATAAAGTTAGTTAGATTTACTTTACTATGAAACTCTCTATCATTACTCTTTCTAAAATTATAGTCATAAAGCGACTAAATTTCTTTTATTCATTGGATTTTTTTTGTAGGTGGTGGAAAAATATAGGCTTTGCAGAAAAGTTGAACTTTGCAAGGGATAGGCTAGTAGAGAATTACTTTTGGTCTATAGGTGTATTTTTTGAGCCTCAATTCGAATATGGTAGGACGTCGGCCGGGAAGGTCAACGCTCTTATAACTGCGATCGATGATGTTTACGATGTGTATGGTACACTAGAAGAACTAGAGCTCTTTACCGATGCCGTTAAGAGGTTGGTGATGATGAAAAGGCCCGATTTAACACTCTATTTCCTTTAAATTTATTTATTTATTTTAACTAACAATTTCTCTTATGTTTTAGGTGGGATATCAACGCTATAGATCAACTTCCATACTATATGAAGTTGTGCTTTCTCGGCCTCTACAACTCCGTTAATGAGATGGCTTATGATTTTCTCAAGGATGAGGGTTCTTCTATTATTTCATTCTTTAAAAAAAGGGTACTATATTTTTTTTCTATTTAAATTAATATAATTGGTTTTTTTAACCAATAACTGCTATCAGTATCATTTGGCATACATATTGAAATTACCTAGACCACATTCATATGTTAGCATACTCCCAAGTTAGAAATTGAGGAACTCAAAAGGATTGCAGCCACACTGACTGATCGCATCTAAGAACCATCCCAAGATGAAGTAGAAGCAGATGATGCTTCCTCTGCTGCTGAGTTAAGTCACCTACAAGATCCTTATTATGATCTTCAGGATGCCCAGAATCCATTTGAATTCTAGGCCAGAAAAAGTCAAAATTACTATTTGGTCAGAATTACTATTTGCTACAGTACCAAGTCAACATCACTATTTGCTACAGTACTGTCGTCAGATGACTATTTCTACAGTCACCCGACAAAAAACACTATTCATCTACAGTGCCGTCGCTGTCAGCGCAAAAGGACAGGAACAGTAACATCTACAGTAAACCTCAGTCAGAAAAGTCAGAAGCATCTTTCAAAGGGAGAACGTACTAGGGAGGGAAATAGGATTTTTTATAGATCGAGAATACTACATAGTAGGTACTTGAGGTATTGAATTATTTTCCATATCTTTGTATGTTTTCTGACTTTGTTATGATCTATTGTGCAGTGGGCAGAGCTATGTGAAGCCTACTTAATCGAGGCAAAGTGGTACTACAGTGGCTATAAACCAACCCTAAAAGAATACCTTGAGAATGCTTGTATGTCAATTGCAGTTCCTCTAATGCTAGTTCATGCTTATTTTTCCATTCCATCTCCCACAACAAAGGAGGCCTTGGAATGCTTAGACAAATATCCAAGTATATTCCAGTGCTCCGGCATGGTTCTTCGTCTTGCAGATGACTTGGGAACTTCTCCGGTATGCAATGCAATGCTCTTAATTAATTACTTATTTATCTTCTTTTTGTTCTTCATTTTTCTGTTTCATAAAATAAGTAAATGCTGATTTTGGTTTCTCTTGACGTAGGATGAGATGAAAAGAGGGGACGTCCCAAAATCGATTCAGTGTTACATGTACGAAACAGGTGCCTCTGAAGAAGAAGCACGTGATTACATTAAGCACTTGATAGATGAAACATGGAAAAAAATGAACGAAGATCTATTTTCCGTTTCTCCCTTCTCCAAGACTTTCATTTCGATGGGAATGAACTTTGGTAGGGTGGCACAGTGTCTCTACCAGTATGGAGATGGTCATGGTGTTGAGGATGGTGAGACCAAGGGTCGTGTAGTATCATTACTTATTGAACCTATTCCTCTTGTATAATGAAATTGAAATTATTATGTCAATTTAAGTATTAGAATCATAATTTATTAGTTAGTCAAATTGAGCAATAATTGTGTCACAAGGTCATCTCTTTTTTTTTTTTTTTTTTCTTTTTTTTAATCATTTTATTCTTCTTTGATATATATAAATATATAGTTTAATGTTGTTGTCACCTTGCTATGCATTATTGTACTACTTTTGTCATTCTTGGTTCAATAACGGACTTTAATTGAGTCTCCCATTCATAGCCTTGAACCTGGTTGAGTTAATGGATCACAAGGACAAATAGCAAGGATGAATTTTCAACCTATGAGCCTGCCACTCACGCCAGCCATGTATATATATATATATATATATATATATATATATATATATATATATATATATATATATGTATGTATGTGTGTGTGTGTGTGAGTTGTATGCAGCGAAATGTTTGTGAAATATAATATGAATAATTAATCTCGAAGGATGGTGAATAGGTTTTACTGGCTCATTTAACCAATTTTTACTTATTTTAATTTTACCCAAATAAAACTAAAATCAAAATTCTGAACCAAAATATTACAACTCGATTGGACATGTTTTGACAACGAAATTAGCCAATTACAAATATATATTTTTCACAATTTCCCCAATATATATATATATATATATATATATATATATATATAAGTTCTCTTAGGGTTTTATAATAGAGAGACAAAAGTGTTTAATTTTGTTTTCAATGAGACTTTTCACCCACAGTTCACGCTATTATGAATTTAAATATATATATATATATATATATTTACACTATTATGAATTTAATTAATAGTACCTGAATGGGAATAACTTTCAAGCATTTGACTTGCCTTCTTTATTCTGGGTGTGAAACCTTCTCAGCCAGGGTTTATGGCCTCCAAATGAATCCATGTTCCTCATTGCTAAGAGGAAGCTTGCTAAGTCAGAGATTTTTTTTTTGTCCCTTTCCATGAATGACCCAAGAGGTTGGCTCAAGTGGGTAGTCACTTGTTTCGAGTGCCTCATGAAGTGATCTAAGGTTCAATTCCTTGAGGGGGAGGGGGGAGTATCAACTACAAAAAAAAAAAAAAAAAAAACATAAAAACAACAAAGGCTAACACAAGCCCATTAGAATAGGGTCCAATTAGCAGCTTTAGAATATACAAGGTAAAATTTATAGATAACAGACCTTTGAGTACTAGCCAAAAAATCCAAAGGTTATTAAAACCAATAGACCAAGAACCATCTTGGAATAGAGCAGATGTTATAAGGAGATATTTATTCCACATCAGATTCAGATGGGAGAGTGATTGGGTATAAATGAGTGGATATGTAGCACTACCTAATAACTTAAACTTTTGGATAAATGGGTTAGTTGTTAGACTAAGAGGGGGTGAATTGGTCTGATTTAACTTCTTTAAACAATCAGTCCAAACAAATCAAACACATATGATGCATATGACACAAGATATACAAGGAAACCCTCTGAATAGGGAAAAACCTTGGTTCTTGGCCTTAACCAATAAAAGCTCCACTAGGTGTATGTAAGTTGTTACACAATCAACTGTTTCACTCTCAGTATACTCCTTGTACAAGTAAGAACATTGATTTTCACACCCACTACACACACACTAGCTTTTCAACAACACTTGCTGTATTCAAGTAGTTACTCACTCAGCTATCCCATTTTCCACACACCTTGTACTAGCTAGGACACTAACTTTCACTCCCTCTACACACACATAAGCTACAACAATATGCACTCTTGCACTCCCCCTGTCTTAAACAACCATGCTTGGACTCACAAGCTCTAAATAGCTAAATCAACAATGGAATGAGATGTCAATATATCAAGAACATACTACTTCAGCTGCAACAACAACAAAAGAATGCAATACACAACCTCAAGTAGAACAATGTGAAACCCCAATCTTTACTTCTCTACAATCAAAGGATAGAACAGTAAAAACACAATGCAGCTTCACTTGATGCTCAAGCTAGGTTCCTATAGCCTTGTCTCAGTAAAATACACTTACGTGAATGAATTCCTCAATTAGAAAAGCAAGGTAGAACAATGTAGACCATATTAGGCAAAAACCCTAAATTCAAGGGTATAGTAGTCACTTCATAATGTAGCTTATAGAAAGGTCTGCAAATGTCTTCCACAGCTCTCAATAGCTTACATACACTTGCTTAAGAGATAAACTGAGTAAAACCAGCAAGGTATAAAGACAAAAACCCATAATAGCCTTGTAGTCCTCAAAACCCTAGAATTGGCTTCCCAAGAGTAGAACAGTAATGTAGCTTCAATAACCCCCAAGTTCTGAACTCACAGTCTTTAATATATAAAATACACTTGCTCAGATTGATAAGAACAATTAAACAGCAAGGTAAACATTGTAATATTAGATTAAACAAAAAACCCGAATAAACCCTAGCTTTGTAACTTCAAAGGGCAACTCTGCAATATAGCTTCAATGGGAACCCAAAGTCCACTTCCACAGACTTATAACACTTATAGAATCTTGCTCAATAGAAAATAACCATGAGTATAGCAAGATATTCACAAGTTGTAAGCTCAGTTTCAATACTAGAGTAAAAACACCAAATCTCAAGGTTTATCAATCACAGCCTTGGAGTGCACCACACACACTTCAACCAATGTCCTTCATAGCTTCAACATACTGATTGGAGTCTGCTCAAATGAATATACAAGATACACAAGCATGTATACAACAATGTAGTATAGTTTCAGTAGCAAAACAACTCAGTTCTGGGTCTATTTTTAAGCTTTTGTGATGCCTTTGTTCTAAGGGCATAATGGACAATTTGAACTGTATCAAGCCTGGAATATACTTTCACATACCCAATTCATCTTCATGCAAAAACTCAGAGGAAAAACACATCAACAAGTATATCAATTATAGCCCCAAACACTGCTCAAAATTAGTTTATGCAGAAACTTGCTATCAAAGAGTATTTCTGGAAATTCGTGATAACCCTGGTATGTAAAAGTTTCCCTTAACCTTGTTTTACTTAATATAACATGCTTGAATGATTTTCAAGATAGTTTAAGCAATATAAAAACACTAACTTACTTCACAAGGTTAGCCTATTTAGGCTTAAAACGTTAAATCACAAGGGTTTAGAGGTTCATTATATTAAAGGCCACTTCTCTGTCTTAACCATTAGTTTCTACAGAATTAAATCAACATTTTAAGCATGCTCATCCGGTTGTAATTCATGTAGAAGCAAGGTATCACAAAATCAAGTTTAAAATAACTACTATGAATCAGAAAATTAAAATATAGTTGGTTTGAGAGGTGAGAATTGATACCAGCCCAAGTTAGGTTATGTAGAAGCCTTGTGCATATATAAAAACCCCTGATACACTTGCTTAAACCTCAATCTAGCCTCAGATATATCCATAACACATTCTTACCTTCTGCAGCCACTCATTTGCACCAGAAAACTGTAGTATAATATATCTACTAATTTTGCACCTTTTACATGTTGATTCCAGAGAGCAAAAGCTGCTTAAAACCTCTATAAATCCCTCTGAAATCTCAATATTTTAAGCTCTCGAGACCACCTTCATTTTCAGCTCAAAGGCTCATTTTTTTGTCTCCACTAAGGCACACATAGTTGCAGGCTGCTATAAAAATATTTATATACTAGTCTCATTGTTGCCCTAGTATGGATAAGTATATTCCATCATTGGTCAATCATAGATAATGATATATTCTGACATAATATATATAATAAATAGATCAGAATACCCTTGTAAAGCCCAAGCTTGACACCACAAACACCTTTTTTTGCAGCCCTTGAAAGTCATTGTACAATGCTGATACACACGGCTGTGAATTTGTATTTTTGTTCTTGTCCTCTCTCACTAGGACCACTATGCACGTGGCACAATGTAGAGAATCCTTATTACACAATAGAAATTCCAGAATTGCCCTCACATTGAACTTGTAATTGCTACAGCACCTATTTATGTGTATAAATACTTGAGTATAAACTGTGTGGTGTATTTTAGCAAATGAAAGGGGTATAACACACACACACACATGAGTAATGACAGAAATACCCCTGGACAAAAATACCACTGTGAGACCAATATAGAGAGAATATAAGCCTTAGATACTTTTGACTTACATTTGATATTAAAGGGCAAACCTCAACCAAAAATCTCCCCCTTTTGCCTTTAATGTCAAAACCCTAATAATTCTCCCCCTTTTTGATATTGAAGTCAAAAAAGGAAAATTTGAGAGTAGACTCATACTTGATCTTCGACATGAAATTTTGAAGGAAGCTTCAAAACTGGTGATGAGTGCTAAAAAGTGCGCATTTAAACCCCTTAAGCTAGAGTATTCTAGGACCTTTATCTATCTTACTTTTTCGTTTTAGACTAATTTCATATTATTACCCTTTTCAGGTGCTTATCCCAAAAATAAGTCAATTCAGCCAAATTAGAGCATCAAAGAAGCAATCTCAAGCTGAATGGAAAAAATGAGCAAAGTGGAAGCAAAATGGTGAAAATCAGCAATCTTCGATCGATCAGGAATACTTTCGATCGATCTCACATTGATCGATCTAGCCTCATAAAGATGGATCAAAACCCTTGACCTTATCCTCAAAGAATTTCTTTCTTCGATCGATCCAACTTTCTTCAGATTAATCGAACTTCCTTGATCTTATCCTCACCTACTACTTTTGTCTTTTTCCCAAAATATCCCCAAATATCTCAGAGATTTGTCGTATTCCAAAAAGGCACCGCCAAGGATTGATCGATCTGGCCTTAATTTGATGGATCTGGCCACAGTTAGATCGATCTCACCTGAATTCGATCGATCGAACCTCCTCAAGTCCGAAATAAAACAGAGTCCAGCTCATTAAAAGAGGGCTCGTGGTGCAATCATTGGAAGGGACCTTAGTGCACGAGACCTGACTATTGGGTGCGACACTTAAGCTACCTATATAAGGATTTTGAGACATTTTTACACAGGAGGATAGATAACTTAGATATCTCATATCAAATATCTTGGAGAGGAGGCTAGAGTTTAGAGAGACATACATTATTTTTGGGAGTTCTTCCATTCTTCTAGGGTTTCCGTAAAGAAGAAGAGCATTCTTACCATAGAGATGGCCCTTGAGGGTTGGATGACTATATCAATGAGTGGTTAAACATCTTCTTGGGCTAGAGTTAGCCCTAAGCATGCCTTCTAGACCTTGATGTTTTGTATTTTGAAGGAATTTGTGTTG